AAAAAAAAAAAAAAAAAAGATTATAGAGGATGCTTAAACAAGATAATAATCCCTGGGTGAGTGTGGTGGTGCATGCCTGTAATCCTAGCACTTGGGAGGCTGAGGCAGGAGGATCTCTGAGGCCCACCTGAACTACATAGTGAGACCCTGTCTAAAGACTGATTGGGGCAGGAAAAAAGTCTTCACAGGGCTGGGGATTTAGCTCAGTGGCACCGTCCCTGCCTCATAAGCCCAAGGTCATGAGTCTGATCCCAGGTACCCCCCGCCAGGTCTTCACAGTCAAAGACCATAAGACATGCTATATATGCTGTATCAATTTTCTGGATTTATCACAATTCGTAAACCGAAACACATTTACCTGGTTGTTGCGGTTTTCCTGCAGTGGTGAAGTAGCATCATCAGGAAATGAGCTGACATTCCTCCTTTTCAGCATCTGATCGTCTTTCTTAGCTTTCCTTAGCTCCACATTGACTTCTATTCTTCGCCGCCTCATTTCCTTGAGAAAAGACAACTGATCATTTCACCTACACCGCATCAGTTCTGCTGCCAGGTGAGAGCATTTGAAAAACACTTTTCAAAAGGCTTCACCCCTTCTCAAATATTTTCCCATTTAAAAAAATACTGCAGAAAAGCACCAGAAGGTACTCACTGTGCTGTCTTTTCCCTTGTTCTTGAATCTATTCAGCCGGGCAGCTGGTGAATTAGCATTCTCATTGGTGGACATGGTTTGAGACAAAGAGAAAGCTAAAAGATGGGAGACAGAAAAAAATTTCCCTTCTATCATTCTGTTTTGTCAGTAAGAACACCAAATAAGAGTAGAATAACCAGAATATATTGAATCTACCTCTTCCAAGTTTTCGGCACTGTGGATGTAGTTTTGGTCCAAGGATAATCCTTTTACTTCCCACCCCTACAAAGGGATGAAATGAACTTCCTGGAGCAGATCTATCTGGAATATAATGAAAGCCACATAAAATTTAAAATTTCTAGTAATCAAAAAAGAAAAAACGCTAACTTTTAATCATACTTTTAACCCGACGTATCCAAAATACTGTAATCTCAACTTGTTATCAATAGAACAGTTGTGATTTTTTTTTCTCCTATCTGTAAGATCCCGTGTGTCTCAGTTCGGATTAGTCACGTCTGTGCTCCAGAGCCACAGATTTGACCACCACGGTGTCAGGCAGTGTGAGGCTTTACATTCTAGAATCCACTTTGTTAATGGAACACCAAGCAAGGGAACCCTCAACCCTACGTCCTCGGGGCAACAAATTCAGATCTCTTGAGGCTTTCAAACGGCCACCTTGAGTGCATACTCCGTAGGAGAGCTAAATATGCCACGCTGCATTACACAACCCCCCGCAACAATTGCCAACAACACTGAAGGCGGCGACCAAATGCCGCTTCTGCATCTCGGGCTTCTCGCGCTTTTGTTCCGACTCTCAGCCAAGGCGTTCGATTAGGGTGACAGCAACTGCTCCTCCAGCACCCTCGGATACCTCCAAAGCTGCGTCCCGGGAGTGACCAAAGTCAAAGTCCGCCTTAACAACCGGCTATGTCTAACTGCACTTCGCCCGTCCGAGGCCCCACTGCGTTTAGAGCTGCGTCTTGCACAACTGCTACCTCCCTCGCCAGGCTCCGTCCCGCGCCTCGCCTCGCCCGCGGCCAGGCCAGGACTGCGGGGCCCTT